GACCAAGCCCGTGCTGAAAGAGTTAAGGATCTCTTTTCCTACCAACCTCTTAATATACACTGATGATAATTTTGAATGACTGCTAAAAGTATATTGTTATACCATGCTCTGGCAGAATAAATTGAGCACCCGTGAAACAATTTTTTATGTTATTCAAAGTAAATTTATGTTAGATTTACGTTCAATGCATTTTTATTAGTACATAATTGTATTATCATGTGCATTGAATAATACTTGGATGCAATTCGGCATGACAATGATCAGTTTCTGAATAATGCTTTGTTGCAGGTTCTGTCATACAACTGCTCTGAATTATTGGGCAGTAAGACGTGTTTTCCATAGCTTTCTATCTAGATGCTCCCATACAAGTTATGTGGAATTCATATCAGGTCTATGTTGAGCTGGTGGCAGAAGTTTAATGTCTTTGTTTTTCTCTTACGAATTGTTGTAGTTTTGGTTGTGTGGGAAGTGGCACCATCTTCCTGGAATGTATGGGTGTGAGACTATAAAACTATAAAGATTGATAGGAGGTGTTCTATAGAAAAGTGAAATTATCAGCAATATTTAAACAACCATCAAGGAAAACAAGGTCCATTTTTCTACCATACCAAATGGCTGCTCACACCATAAAACTGACACCACCATGTTTGTTCTCTGCAAACAGGATGGTCGGAATTCATCACCTGCCTTTCTCCACACTCAGTACATCTGCTTGACCCGAACTGCTGAAATCAGAATTCACTAGAGAAGACTACTGTTGTAAAGAACCATGCAGATGGTGATGCATTTCAGTAATCCAGGATAATGACCATATTAAATTTGTTGTAGTGAAATAATGTTTTCTATTAGCTACACACCTTATGTAGTCCAGCTTGTTTAAAATCCAACAGACTGTATTTTAGCTCCTGCCTGCTGTTTCTGCAACATCTAACAAGCTGTGACAATGGTATTTTTGAACTTGCCTTATTAGTGCCCTTTTGTTACATAGTGTAATGGTTGGCAGTTGTAATGCTGTTGTCATTAAGTTGGGTGATAATGTTATACATACATCCATTTCAATAGGACAAAAGCTCGTTCAGTGACTTTCTCATGGGAGCTACATTCAAAGTAACCTACTACATGACCTCACTTGTTCTAAAGTAAAATATCACAAGCACCAACTGTACACAGCATTCTAATTGCAGGTCTGATGTATTAGGTCATCAATAAATTAATGTTGCTTTTTTTTAGATGAAAAAACCCAAACAACTTGTATATCAAAAAAAAATACTTATTAAATGAAACAGTCTCCATTCTTATCGATTATGCTTTTCCATTTTACAATCAGGTTGTAAATGCTCTGATTAAAGAAATCATTTGGTTTTGATGCAAAAAACATGTCGATGTTCTCTTTAACACCTTCCACATTTGTATACGTTTTCCCATTAAAATGGTGTTGCAGTGAACAAAAAAGATGGTAATATGATGGTGCCATATCTGAAGAATATGGTGGGTGGGGGAGAACTTCACAACCCAACTCCATAATTTTGTGTTGCATCAAACGTGCATTGTCATGGAGAAGAAGAACACCTTTCCAATTGATGAATGATTTGAATGAATGTTCCAGTTGCTGACTATAGATCTCTGCATTGACAGTTCACTGTGGATTGAGAAGTTTGAAATGAATTACTCCTTTGATGTCCCACCAAATGCAAAGCATCACTTTCTGTGGATAGAGTCCAGATTTTTAGGTCGGAAGTGGTTTTTGTCTAGGATTGAGCAACATTCACACGTTGGAAACGATGATCATTGGAGAGTTCACGAGGCAC